AGACTCTGAGGGTGGGGCGGGAGCATCAGCGTCTTTCCAAATGCTCCTCCAGGTGATTCTGATGGGCCCTGTCTAACCGCCGTATTTTTCTGAAGCCCAAGGGGCAGCGACTTGCCAGGGTCACATAGCAAGTCAGTGACTGAGAAGCCCCAGTCATACCAAGGAAGATGTGGAGAGGGTCCCTGGATGCCGAGGCTCTGGGGCTGAAGGAATGAGGGGAGGGGATGTGTGAGCCGAGGGCAGCAGGCAGCGGGAGAAGAGCCGGTGGAGGAGGTGTTCCCGGACCTGGAAGGTTTTGGGAATTCACAGATAGCTAGGAGAGAACTCAAGGATCTTCCTCTCCCATTTCACAGCAGGGAAGACTGAGGCACAGAGTCACAGAGGACTTGGCTGGAAAGGCATCAGTCTGGTGGGTCACTTGTTAGTACCCAGGATTTCTGGAGACGGGTGTGTCAGAAGCTAGCCCAAGAGGGTGGCCCCGGTCTCTTTCTCTTTGACAAGCCTTAGGATTGGTTTCTCTCCAGGCTTACTTGGACTCTTCATGAAGGCTTTGCAAATGTTGGTAACCACAGCAGCCACTGGACCAGAATCAGACCTTGATTTGAATCCTGGTCCACCAGGGAGTCAAGCGACTTACCCATAACCATTCTGGCTTCAGATTCCCTCTCTTTCAAATGGAATTCCTCCAGGACTGAGGGAGCGAATGTGCAGGCACACCTTGCTCTATCATGCTTTGCTTTATTGTACTTCACAGATACTGCATCTTTTACTTATTGAAGGTTTGTGGCAACCCGGCATCGGGCAAGTCTATCGATGCCATTTTTAACAGCATGCGCTCACTTTTTGTCTCGGTGTCACCGTTTCGTGATTCTTAACAACACTTCAAACTTTTTCATTATTGTATCTGTTATGGTGATCTGTGATCAGTGATCTTTGATGTTACTATTGTCATTGTTTTGGGGTACCATGAACCCCACCCACAAAGACAGTGAACTAAATCGATAAATGTTGTGTGTGCTCGTCCTCCACCTGCTCCATCAACCAGCATTCCCCATTTCTCTTCCTCTCTTTCTCTTCTGTGGCCTCCCTGTTGCCTGAGGCACAACAATATTGAAAGTGGGCCAATTAATCCTACAGTGGTCTGTAAGTGTTCAGGTGAAAGGAAGAGTTACAGGTCTTTATCTTTAAATGAAAAACTAGAAATAATTAAGCTTAGTGAGGAAGGCAGGTCGAAAGCCCAGACAGGCCGAAAGCTAGGCCTCTTGCACTGGTTTGCCAAGTTGTGAATGCCAAGGAAAAGCTATTGAAGGAGATCAGAAGTGCTGTTCCAGTGGAACACACATGGTAAGAAAGCGAAAAAGCCTTATTGCTGATAATGGAGAAGGTTTGAGGGGTCGGGATAGAAGATCCGACAAGCCATAACTTAAGCCAAAGCCTCATCCAGACCAAGGCTCTGAATCTCCAATTCTCTGAAGGCTGAGAGAGGTGAGGAAGCTGCAGAAGAAAAGTTGGAAGCTAGCAGAGGTTGCTTCATGAGGTTTAAGGAAAGATGCCATCTCCATCACATAAAAATGCAAGGTGAATCAACCAGGGCTGGTGTAGAAGCTGCTGCAATTTATCCAGAAGATCCAGCTGAGATCATTGATGAAGGTGGCCACACTACCACAGATTTTCCATGTAGATGAAACAGTTTTGTATCAGAAAAAGATGTCATCTAGGACTTTCATAGCTAAGACGTCAATGCATGGCTTCAAAAGACAGGCTGACATGTTAGGGCTAATGCAGCTGGTGGCTTTAAGTTGAAGCCAATCCTCATTTATCATTCCAAAAAAACCTAGAACCTTGAAGAATTATGCTAAATCTACTCACTCTGTTCTACAAATGAAATAACAAAGCCTGGATGACAGCCCATCTGTTTATAACGTAGTTCACTGAGTATTTTAAGCCAACTGTTGAGACCTACTGCTCAGAAAAAAGATTCCTTTCAAAATATTACTGCTCATTGACAAGGCAGCGGGTCACCCAAGAGGGCTGATGACAGTGTACCAGGAGCTGCATGTTTTCGTGCCTGCTAGCACAACATTTATTCTAGAGCCGAGGATCAAGGAGTGCTTTCAAGTTTCAAGTCTTATTATTGAAGAAATCCATTTTGTAAGGCTATAGCTGCCATAGACAGTGATTCCTCTGATGGATCCGGGCAAAATACATTGAAAACCTCCAGAGAGCATTTAAGGAACATTTGTGATTTGTGGGAGGAGGTCAGAATATCCAAGCATTTGGAAGAAGTTGATTCCAACCTTCACGGATGACTCTGAGGGCTTCAGGATTTCAGTGGAGAAGTCACTGCAGATGCGGTGGAACCTGCGAGAGAACTAGAGTTAGAAGCAGAGCTTGAGAATGAGACTGAATTGCGGCAATCTCATGATCAAACTTGAGTGGATGAGGAGTTGTTTTGTATGGGTGGGCAAAGAAAGTGACTTTTTTGGTTTCTGGTTTTTTCTTTCTTTTTTTTTTTTTTTTTTTGAGGCAGTCCTATTCCATCGCCCAGACTGGAGTACAGTGGAGTGATCTCGGCTCACTGCAGCCTTCGCCTCCTAGGTTCAAAGGATTCTCCTGCCTCAGCCTCCCAAGTCGCTGGGACTACTGGGACCTGCCCCACACCCAGCTAACTTGTGTTTTTAGTAGAGACAGGGTTTTGCCATGTTGGCCAGGCTGGTCTCAAACTCCTGACCTCAGGTGGTCCGCCCACCTCGGCCTCCCAAAGTGCTGGGATGACAGGCATGAGCCACTGTGCCCATCCTAAAGTGGCTTCTTGAGGTGGAATCTACTCCTGGAGGAGATGCTGTGAACATTGTCAAAATGACAACAAGGGATTTAGAATGTTACAGAAACTTAGCTGATAAAGCAGCAGCAGGGTTTGAGAGGATGGACATCAGTTTTGAAAGAAGTTTTGCTGTGGATAAAATGCTGTCAAAAACAGCATCACATGCATGTCATGGAAAAATCTTTCACGAAAGGAAGAGTTGCCAGGCACAGTGGCTCACGCCTGTAATCCCAGCACTTTGGGAGGCCGAGGCGGATGGATCATGAGGTCAGGAGTTCGAGACCAGCCTGGCCAATATGGTGAAACCCCGTCTCTACTAAAAATACAAAAATTAGCCGGGCGTGGAGGCGGGCGCCTGTAGTTCCAGCTACTCAGGAGGCTGAGGCAGAAGAATCACTTGAACCCGGGAGGCAGAGATTGCAGTGAACCAAGATCATACCACTGTACTCCAGCCTGGGGGACAGAGCGAGATTCTGTCTCAAAAAAAAAAAAAAAAAAAAAAAAAAAGGAAGAGTTAATGGATGTGGCAAACTTCATTGTTGTCTTCTTTTAAGAAATTGCCACAGTCACCCCAGCCTGAGAAACCACCACCCTGAGATCCCCCAGCAGCCATCGACATGGAGGCAAGACATAAGAACACCTACCAAAGCAGGACCACTTTGGGCCACCCTCTTGGGCTAGCTTCTGATACACCCGTCTCCAGAAATCCTGGGTACTAACAAGTGACCCACCAGCCTGATGCCTTTCCAGCGCTTCTGACACACCCGTGTCCAGAAATCCTGGGTACTAACAAGTGACCCACCAGCCTGATGCCTTTCCAGCCAAGTCCGCTGTGACTTTGTGCCTCAGTCTTCCCTGCTGTGAAATGGGAGAGGAAGATCCTAGCGTTCTTTGCTAGCCAAGGATTCTACCCCATGCCTCTGAGTACCACTGGCCCCTGGCTTATGCTGCTTTGGGTTTCTTGTTCCCGAGGAGATTCTTTTTCTGTCTGGGATGGAAGGGAAATCTCATAGGTTCCTAACAAAAAGGATGTCCTGGGAGGGAGTGAACCAATTCATACTTGATTAACAAAAGGACAAAGGACAGAAAGAAAAGGTTGTCAGAAGCCGTGGGTTCCTGGTCTGGTGTCTGCTGCCAGCCTGCGGTGTGGCCCGAGGCAGTTTCCAATGGTTGTGGTTTTTGCAGTGGCAGAGGTGTTGCGTTTTTGCAGCCATCGGCACATGGTGGTTCTTAGTAAAATACAGCCCACAGCTTCTCCGGCCCACGACGCAGGGTTGTCGTGAGCCTTGCTCATTCCAGCTTGGCACCTGCTGTGTGGGGTACGGGCAGCCTCACCGAGCTACCAGGGAGCCCCAGGAGCCACCGGCAGTTCAGCCAGGATGGCTGTGAGTAGCCAAGGGCGACGGAGGAGCTGCCCATGGCCAGGGGCCGGAGGAGGCCACCCAGAGGAAGGCACTTGTCACAGAGACCTGAGGGGTCACCAGGACCCTTGCAGGTGAGGGGAGCATGTGGCCTAATTAGGGCAGTTAGAACTCTGCAGATGCTCGGGAAGGTCAGATGTTCCCAAATATTCTCAGGGGAACTACTACCAAGGGACCCCATGTGTTGCTTTGGGACCACAGCCATGGGATCCTTTAGCTCTCCAGTGAGACTGAGCTGCTTCTCAATTGTGTCTCAGCATGGGGCAGATTTTGGAGACAGGATTTCCCCAAGCGCCATAGCCCAACCCCGGCCTCCTGTGACTTGACCTCAAGGTGGTTTTGCGTTTCCTTCAAAGATGTGGGGAGATAGCTGGAGCAGAGGAAAGAAAAGGGGCAGGTGTGGAACAGATGCAGTGGGTTGTGGGGGAGTGGGGAGGAGGGTCTGTGTGTGTGTGTGTGTGTGTGTAGCCTGTGTGCAGCCAGGGACACACCCCTTCCCCCTGGCCAATTCTTTTTTTTTTTTTTTTAATGATAGAGACGGGATCTCACTATGTTGGCCAGACAGGTCTCGAACTCCTGATATCAGGTGATCGCCTGCCTGGGCCTCCCAAAGTGCTGGGATCACAGGAGTGAGATCACAGTCACCGGCGCCCTCTGACGACTCTCATTGGGGATGGGGAGACTGCTCCTGTTCCTCCTGCTTGCATCTGAGGTGTTCTCTCCCCACCCTTTCTTCCTTCCCTCTCTCCTTGCAGCAGCTCCTGTCAAAGGGAACAGGAAGCAGTCCGCAGAGGGTGACATCCTAGATCCACCTGCATCCCCCAAACCTGTTGGCGAGCAGAACGGGAGCCAGAACCCCATCCCACTGGAGGTGAGTTGAGTCCCTCTGCTGACTCCCTGGGCGTTCTTCCCTGCCACCCTCACCCGTGTTCAGCCTCCAGGTGAACCTGGACACTCCCCAAGCTCTCAGGAGGCAGATATGTTCCTACCCTGGCCCTGTCCAGCAGCCAGGGGACTGACTTGTCTTCTGTGCCAGAGAGTTACTGAAACCAAGATTGACTTGGTTTTTGTAGCAGACCCCTTTTTTCAAGTGAAGATGACCCACCACCCTGATCCATAAAACAGACAAAAGCTCCAGCCCGTGATGCAAAACCACATTCACATCCATTCATCCAGATGCATAACATGGGCATATAAAGTCACTCGGTGAGACCAACAGGGCTGTTGCGATGAGCAGAGTCTGAAGGGGGCGCTGCAGGCAGCTTTTTCGGAGCACAGTTGGCCCCGGCTTTCATTCATTTTGGCCATTTGCTTTGGTGGCACAGTCTGGAAAAGTATCCAGATTCATGCAGAAAAGTGTTTGCAAATGGTAGTTGTCTTTAGCAGCTTGCTGGAAATTCAGAGTAGAGGCCTGGAGGAGCAGATTGACTTGAGCAGCTATGAGAGAGCCTTCCTTCTGAGGTCTGCACAGACCAGCCCCAGGGCCCCGGCATGTTACGATTTCATGGGTGATATATGAGTTCGTATGTTGTTTCTTCTCAGAGGTCTTTAATACCTTAAAAACACTGAACTATTACAGAAGCTATTTACAACAAACAAAGTAACACTGAAATAAACTTGAATCAATTTTTTTTTTTTTTAGGCAGAGTCTCACTGTTACCCAGGCTGGAGGGCAGTAGCACAATCTTGGCTCACTGCAACCTCCACCTCCTGGGTTCAAACGATTCTTCTGCCTCAGCCTCCCGAGTAGCTGGGATTACAGGCATGCACTACCAGGCGTGGCTAATTTTTGTATTTTTAGTAGAGATGGGATTTCCCCATGTTGGCCAGGCTGGTCTCGAACTCCTGACCTCGGGTGATCTGCCCACCTCGGCTTCCCAAAGTGCTAGGATTACAGGCGTGAGCCACCATGCCCAGCTGGATCAAATATTTTGGGAACACATGGCTGTCTGCACTATCCTAGTCTAGATGGTTTATGTCCTGGAAGCTGTCTGTTCTCTGACAGGGTGTAGGCCCTGGGCTGTCTGCCCTGAGCCACTTGCTGGATGAAGGCATCAGCGGAGATTGTCCCTCTGGGACCCGCAACCCAAAGTCCTGTGCCCCTGGCAGCAGTGTGCAGTTGAAGCCCAGAGCTTCACCTCCCTGTGCTCAGTACGGCAGGCCGGGGCCACACAGAGGCTCGGGGAACGTGGGCCTGACAGAGCAACCCACGGCACCGGAAAGCACCAGGCACCTTTGTTCCTTCAGCTTTTCCCTCGGCATTGGGGGTAGGGGGCAGGGCGGCGGGGAGTCCCAGGGACACTGAGCCTGCCCTCCAGGAGCTCCTAGTCTGGCAGAGGAGCTGACACAAATATGACAAATCAAGAACAAGACAGAGAAGTGATCCTGGCCTGGAGAAGGCCGGGGACTGCTCTTGTGGCCACCTCTGGAGGCAGCTGCTCTGGGGTGCCCAGCCTCTGGGGGGGGCCCTGAGCTCTAGCCCCTGCCCTAGGGCACTGAGGGCTGACACCTGTGCCAGGCGAACCCAGGAACAGTCACTCCCTCCCAGAACAGTGGCCAGGTGCTCTCTGGGAAACTGGGGTTGGGGGCAAGGTACCTTATGCCTCCTGCAGCCAGTGGTTTCTGCACGTCCCCAGCAGCCAGCCACCAACTGGGGCCCATCCCAATGCCTCCTGTTCTCTCCCCAGGACTCCCCCGAGGCAGGCGGGGAGCGGGAGGAGGAGCAGGAGCGGGAGGAGGAGCAGGCCTTCCTGGTCAGCCTCTACAAGTTCATGAAGGAGCGACACACGCCCATCGAGAGGGTGCCCCATCTCGGCTTCAAGCAGAGTGCGTCCCTGGGGTGCAGGCAGGGAGGGGGGCCCAGCAGGGAACCCCACCCAGGCAGGGCATCGGGCAGGCACTCCCACTCTGGGTGACCCAGGTTGCAGATAGAAAGGAGGCCTCCCTCCAGGCTGCCACCGGGCCAGCAGTGCACAGGCCACAGCCTGCCCATCTACTGCAGTGGCCCTGCCTGGGTGTGTGCTGCTCTGTGCCCGCGTGTCAGGGCACTAGGAAGGGGTGGCTGCCCCACCTCCCACGGAGGCTGACGGCCAGCCTGCCCCTCTCTCCCCAGTTAACCTGTGGAAGATCTACAAGGCAGTGGAGAAGCTGGGGGCCTATGAGCTGGTAAGGAAGGCACCCCCAGTCCTTGCCAGACTGCATCTCCCTGGGGTGAGCCTGCAACGCTGTCCTTGCCTCTGGACAGGAGAAGAGCCAGGATCCCCAGTCCTGCCCCTTCCTCCCCGCCTCCCCCGCTGGTTCTCTGCTGCTCAAAGCAGCTTTTCAGCCTTCCCCATCTGTTCTGCCCGCCCCGTGTTGGAAAAACTGCTTGGGCCAGCAGTCCGTGGCCCTGGGAGGGAGAATCAGCCGCTGTCGGAGCCGCAGAGCAGCTGCCAAACCGCAGTGCTTTGGTCCCTGCGAGGGCGGCCAGAGCCGCAAGGACCCCGCCGCCAGGGGGCGCTCGCGGCCGCGCCCTCACCAGGTGCCCTTGCAGGTGACCGGGCGCCGCCTCTGGAAGAACGTGTACGACGAGCTGGGGGGCAGCCCGGGCAGCACCAGCGCGGCCACGTGCACGCGCCGCCACTACGAGAGGTAGGGGGGCGGGCCCGGGTGCTGGACGCCGCCTGCCCTGCGGGGCTCGGTCGACCTTGCTGGGAGGGCTGGGTGGACTCTGTCCGGAGCGGGCGGGGTGGGCGCTGTCCTCAGCGCTGCGGGGGCCCAGGCTGGCTGGGCGCAGCCACCGAGGGAGCTGAGCTTTGGGGCGAGGAGGAGAGGGTCTTCTTCGGCGCCGGCGGGAAAGAGGGGCTCAGAGGAGGCCACAGAGGCCGGTGGAGGGGATGGGCGCCGACCTCCTGGGGGACATGCCCGGTTCCTCCCCAGGCTGGTCCTGCCATATGTGCGGCACCTGAAGGGGGAGGATGACAAGCCGCTGCCCACCTCCAAGCCCAGGAAACAGTACAAGATGGCCAAGGAGAACAGGGGGGATGATGGGGCCACCGAGCGGCCGAAGAAGGCCAAGGAGGAGCGGCGCATGGACCAGGTACACCTGTGGCTGGGTGGGGCCACCCTGTTCCCTGCCTCTTGCAGCCCCCCCACCCCACAACTCCCTGTGGCCACGGAGCTGTCTGCTCAGAACACACCGAACATGCACCCAGGGCGGGACTTGCAAGGTTCCAGGTTCTCCACAGTGCGCAAGTTCTCTACTTGTGCAAGCAGACTGAACTCCAGCCTGCACCCCACCACCAGGCCCTGTGTCCCAACCTGAGGCTGTGTCCGCTCAGAGGACAGGGCTCCTTTGGAAAATTCTGCACAAAGGACTGCAAGAGCTAGCGGGGAACCTGGGCAGGCCTGAAAGTGCTGCCTCCTGCTCCTGAGGTCAGGATGCATGGCTCGGGCAGCCCTGAGGCATGGCTTTCTCTCATTCCAGATGATGCCAGGAAAGACCAAAGCAGATGTTGCTGACCCAGCACCGCTTCTTAGCCAGGAGCCCCCCAGAAACAGTACAGAACAGCAGGGCCGGGCCTCTGGGTCTTCTGTGTCCTTTGTGGGTACCAGCGGCTGCCCTGAGGCCTACAAGCGGCTCCTATCCAGCTTCTACTGCAAGGGGACACACGGCATCATGTCACCACTGGCCAAAAAGAAGCTCCTGGCCCAGGTGAGCAAGGTGGAGGCCTTGCAGTGCCAGGAGGAGGGCTGTCGCCATGGGGCGGAGCCCCAGGCGTCCCCAGCTGTTCACCTCCCAGGGAGTCCCCAGAGCCCCAAAGGGCTGACTGAGAATTCCAGGCACCGGCTGACCTCTCAGGAGGGATTGCAGTCCCCAGGTGGCAGCCTCAGGGAGGAGGCGCAGGCGGGCCCCTGCCCGGCAGCCCCCATCTTCACGGGCTGCTTCCACACCCACCCCACCGAGGTGCTGAAGCCTGTCAGCCAGCACCCCAGGGACTTCTTCTCCAGACTTAAAGATGGGGTGCTATTGGGGCCTCCTGGCAAAGAGGGGCTGTCAGTGAAAGAGCCCCAGCTGGTGTGGGGCGGGGACGCCAACCGCCCTTCTGCATTCCACAAAGGCGGCTCCAGAAAGGGCGTTCTCTACCCCAAGCCCAAAGCCTGCTGGGTGTCCCCCATGGCCAAGGTCCCACCCGAGAGCCCCACGCTCCCGCCCACCTTTCCTGGTAGCACAGGCCTGGGCAGCAAGCGCAGCCTGGAGGAAGAGGGTGCTGCCCACAGTGGGAAGAGACTGCGGGCCGTGTCTCCCTTTCTTAAGGAGGCAGATGCCAAGAAATGTGGGGCCAAACCTGCGGGGTCCGGCCTGGTCTCCTGCCTTCTGGGCCCAGCCCTGGGGCCTGTGCCCCCAGAGGCCTACAGGGGCACCATGCTGCACTGCCCGCTGAACTTCACTGGCACCCCAGGCCCCTTGAAGGGCCAGGCTGCACTCCCCTTCAGCCCCCTGGTCATCCCAGCCTTCCCAGCCCACTTCCTGGCCACTGCGGGCCCCTCACCCATGGCCGCTGGCTTGATGCACTTCCCGCCCACGTCCTTTGACAGTGCTCTCCGCCACAGACTTTGCCCGGCCTCATCTGCCTGGCATGCACCACCAGTCACAACCTATGCAGCGCCCCACTTCTTCCACCTCAACACCAAGCTGTAGGCCAGCCCATGTGGAGTCGACCGGGGCCGACAGCGGGCAGGTGCTGCTGCTAGAGGGCTCTGGACTAGTGCCTGTTACCCAGGACACCCAGGCCATGCCCCTGGCTGGGCAGCCTGGCACAAGTGAAGGAGGTGGTGGGAAAACTGGGTGTATCTCAAGGCAGCAGGCTGAGCCCAGAGCAGAGGACCCAGTTGTTACAAGGCCCTGGGAGAGGGTGGGCAGCTCCCACTGCCCCAGAGCAGCGCTCAGAGCACCCAGGTTGCCCACGGAAAATCCAATAAACAGAAACGAATGGGAATCCACATAGCCCTGAGGTGCACATGGTATGGGCCTTTGTAACGGCAGGCAAGGCGGGGGTGAGCTCGTGGGTGGGGCTGCCATTAGGGGGCCAAGGAGGTGGACCTGAATGCCACCACCCCGAGAGCAGGCCTAAAGCAAACCCCAGCCTCTGCCCCTGTGTAGGCAGCCTCTGACATCCATCCTTGCCTTCGGTCTGGCTTCCTAGTTGAGCCTCGGGAACACGTCGCCTTTCTCATTGTGGAGATGGGGATTGGAGACCCTGGGAGGGTCAGTGACTTGCCCAGGTTCCCCTGGCAGGAGGGGCAGAGGAGGGCTGCACAGGCCGTGTGACTCCTGTGCTCTGAGGACCCCAGGCTGTTACCAGTGCCCCCTGGGGTTTGGGGGTGTGACCAGGACGCCTGAGTTGGTCTGCCTTGGTGGTGGATGTAGGTTATCTGGGGCCTGTAGCCGAGCCCTCTCTGCAGCACCATCCCACTTGCCTGACCCACATGGATGGTCCAGAATTGGACTGGATTGAAATCACAGGAGGTGCCTGGAGGGAAAGGGGAGCAGATGCCCCGTCTCGGCCTGGGTGTCTGCGTCGGTAACAAGCCCCTGCGGTTTCAGATGTGGTTGCCCCAGGGCTCATCTAGAACCCCTGTGGCCTGATGCCCTGCTTGCTGCAGGCCTGATGGGAGCAGGGCCTTGGCTCAGGAGGAGGGAGGGCAGGTTCTTTTCAGAGGCACCATCCCCTCTCTCCACAAGCAGCCTGCACCCAAGCAATTTCATATGTAGTCCTGGAAAAGTGGGGCTACTGCTGGCCAAGCAGAGGGTAGATGTCGGGGCATCAGGTGTGAGCAGGTCAGCGGGCGACACACACCACTGGAACTTGCCGTGCCCGCTGGGCCTGGGATGCTCATGATCTCCGGCCGTGGGAGGGGCCCCCATAGTTTGCAGGTAGGGAGGCTGAGGCCAGGGATGGGAAGGGTCTTGCTTGCCCAAGGCCACCATTCACAATGACAGAACCCAGGCCAGGGAACGTGCAGCATGCTTGGCACCAGGGAGTGGGCGGCCAGGCCAAAAGTGCACCCTATCCAGCCCCTGCCCCTGGCCACCTCCTTCAGGAGCAGCCTGTGACCGGTGGAGGGGCAGAGGGTGGTGGTCCCTGCTGTTGAGAGCACTCAGGCTCTGCAGGGGCATCTCCCAAACTTCCACCTCCTTCCTTCTGAGAGGTGCCAAGATGCCAGCCTAAGCACCTGCAGTGACCTGCCCTGAGCTCCCACTGCCACATGCAGTCCTTCTCTCCGAGCTGCAGAGGCTCAGTGGATGATAAAGGATGGGAAGGGGCCGGGTGCGGTGGCTCAAGCCTGTAATCCCAGCACTTTGGGAGGCCAAGGCGGGCAGATCACCTGAGGTCAGGAGTTCGTGAACAGCCTGGCCAACGTGGTGAAACTCTGTCTCTACAAAAAATACAAAAATTAGCGGGGCATGGTGGCGGACGCCTGTAATCCCAGCTACTTGGGAGGCTGAGGCGGCAGAATCACTTGAACTCGGGAGGTGGAGGTTGCAGTTAGCCCAGACTGCGCCACTGCACTCCACCTTAGGCAACGAGTAAAACTCAAAAAAAAAAAAGGGTGGGTGGGGGGGGGCTGAGTTCTGCCCACCCTCCAGGCCCTGGGTGCTGGGCCACAGACCACTGGGGTCAGATCCCCTGGATAAAAGGGGCAGGGTCCCTTCATCTGCAAAGCAACATCGGCCTGGCCCCGGCACAAAGATGGGCAGGACTTGAGCGCAAGCGGCTCAGCGCTGTGGTCATGGCGCCCTCTGGAGGCCCATCTGGAGAATGCACCTCCCGTGGGGCGTCTGTCCCGGGCAGGTGGGCGCCCTGGGCAGGAGGCAGGGGACCCTGTTTTGGCACAGATGCTAGAGCCCGATGTAGTCATGCTTCCAGGGCACCCTCTGGGCCCAGTGCCCCACAGCCTGGTACTAACTGTACCCGATTCTCGGAGGGCAGCATCCCGGCTCACAGCCGGACTAAATGGTGGGTTCCCATCAGTGCCTCTGATTCCTCAGTGAGCAGAGACTGAGGACAGGTACTAGGGCTGGAGACCTGAGGTTGGGGAGAGGAGGGGACGAGAATGAGTGATCTCAGACAGGAGCGCCCCCACGCCAGGGCAGTGCCCTGGGGCCTCTGGGAAGCACCAGGTTCCACCTGAGGTTGGCGGCACGGGTTTTGGGTTTCGGCGGGACCAGGCCACCAGCTGTGTGCCGATTCGGAATAGGGGAGAGCCAGGTTCCACCGAGGAGACGCTGGGCCGGGGAGTCTGGTGCAGCAGAGCGGAACAACGGAGCTGAGGCGAGTGCAGGGAGCCAGGCCAGTGGAGGGCCTGGAGTCGAAGCTGGGTGCGGGGAGCCAAGGACGGGTGGCGGGACTGATGGACCACAGTGGGGCTCCGAGAACCACGGGACTGAAGGAGGTGGGCTGGGAATAAGAGGGCTGGCTGACGTCCCCGGTACCTGGGTGCACTCGTGAGAGTGAGTGGAGGAGAGCAGGCCAAGAAACGAAGGGGCCAGGGCGTGGGAAGCCTTGGAGTCACCGCCTTTGGACCAAGGTCAGGCAAGAAGTGGGGAGGAGGGGCTCGGGGTCCACAGCAAGGCCACGATGCAGGGGCAGCAACATGGGCTGGAAGCAACCCACTTCGGGACAGCGTGGAGAAGCGATCTGCACTGGAGAGAGCTGAGGGAGTGGTCTCTGGGTGGGCAGAGCCACGGGCTGGCAGGGGAGGAAGCAGAGGGGCAGCTGGGAGTCCAGGCAGGGAAGTCCGAGACCTCCACCCCTCAAAACCAGAGGGTGGGCCAGGTGCGATGGCTCATGCCTGTAATCCTAGAACTTCGGGAGGCCAAGGCAGGCAGATCACCTGAGGTCAGGAATTCAACACCAGTCTGGCTAACATGGTGAAACGCCATCTCAACTAAAAATACAAACATCAGCCGGGCGTGGTGGCACGCACCTGTAGTTCCTGCTACTAGGGAGGCTGAGGCAGAAGAATCACTTGAACCCAGGAGGCAGAGTTTTCAGTGAGCTGAGATTGTGCCACTGCACTCCAGCCTGGCGACAAGAGTGAAACCCTGTCTCAAAAAAACAAAAAAAACAAAAAACAGAGGCTGCTGACAGTGCCCTGAAACGTGTTTAAACTTTTTTTTTAAGAGATGGGGGTCTTGCAGTGTTACCCCGGCTGGAGTGGTGCTGTGGCTATTCACAGGCAAGGCTATCATGCATTGCGGCACCCAAACTCCTGGGCTCAAGCAGTCCTCCCGCCTCAGCCTCCCAGGCAGCTGGCACTGCAGGTGCATGTCACGGCAGCCAGCTAAATGTTTTCAAATAATTGCCAGAATTTAAAAATCAGATTTCACATAAAAAATGTGGATATCAGGCTTCTCTTTAAAAACCAGAATTTCTGGGCCAGGCGCTATGTCTCATGCCTGTAATCCCAGCACTTTGGGAGGCCGAGGCGGGCGGATCAGCTGAGGTCAGGAGTCAAGACCAGCCTGGCCAACATGGTGAAACCCTGTCTCTACTAAAAATACAAAAATTAGCTGGTCGTGGTGGCGGGCGCCTGTAATCCCAGCTACTCGGGAGGCTGAGGCAGGAGAATCGCTTAAACCTGGGAGGCGGAGGTTGCAGTGAGCCGAGATTGTGCCACTGCACTCCAGCCTGGGTGACAGAGTGAGACTCCATCTCAAAAAAAAAAAAAAAAATTCTGGCCACATGGGAGCACTTCCTGGAGGTGAGCAGTTGCTGCTGCCTTTTGGACAGGGTGACCTACCCGTTCACCACAGTTGCCCCAGCCCCTAACTCCACAAACCTGAGGGACCCAGCCCTTTGCCCCCTGCCCCAGGCACCCCTGTTCAAGCCAGAGTCCTGTTGCTGCTCAGACAATAGGTGGCAGCTTTTGAGACTCCTTCCCATGTTGGAGGTTCTTGGCTTCACGCCTAGAGTTCCCACCACCTGCTGGGCCTTGTCATCCAGCGCTCAGGGGTCAGCAGATAGAGAGGGAAGCTCAAAGAGCTGAAGCCAGAACACAGGCCCTGAGTCCTGACTCCTCCCCGGGTTCAGTGTGTCTGTAAAGGTTCTCAGGCCCCTTACTGGCAAGCAACAGAAACAAACCCTGACCCAGGTAAGAGGGAGCCTGAGTGACTGAGAACTGCAGGAAGAAGAGAACCCCCAGGCCACCGGGGGTGGGGACAGCAGCCCTGCACCCCTGTACCCCTTCTCTGGCACTGCCATGGGTGAGCTGGAGCCGGCTCCTCCTGGCCCAGAGAGTGCACTGCAGGCATCTTTTCCCAGCTCTCGGTTGATGCCTACTGGGAGCTTGAACTAGGCAAGGCAGGAGTATCTACAACCCCCAGAAATCAGCACATGCTGGCTGAGTGCGGTGGCTCACATCTGTAATCCCAGCACTTTGGGAGGCCGAGGCAGGCGGATCACCTGAAGTCAGGAGTTCGAGACCAGCCTGGCCAACATGGTGAAACCCTGTCTCCACTAAAAATACAAGAATTAGCCAGGAGGGTGGCGGGCACCTGTAATCCCAGCTACCTGGAAGGCTGAGGCAGGAGAATTGCTTGAACCTGGGAGGCGGAGGTTGCAGTGAGCCAAGATCATGCCATGCACTCCAGCCTGGGCCTCAGAGCGAGACTCTGTCAAAAAAAAAAAAAGAAAGAAATCAGCACGTGCTACACATCAGGGCTCCCCCCGCCCCCAGCCAGGGGTCAATCACCTAGCAGCACGCACTGCCGACTCAGCTCCAACTGCCTTCTCTCCCTGGGGTCCCGCTTCAGGATACACTGTGAGGGGAGACTCTTATCTGAGGCCTCTGCTTACCCGGTAACCTCTGAGGCTGTTGCCTCAGAGGAAGCATGTCTTCCAGGTAGACCAAGACAGTAGCTGCCGTGCTGCGTGACGCCAGGTGCATACCCTTCTCTGGGTCTCCGTTCCCTCATCTGTGATGTGGAAATTAGTCACTCCT